GGGCACTAATGAAATATACCGACGTAAATATATCCGAAGATGAAGAAAAAAAAAAAAAAAAAAAAAAAAGAAAACGGCCAACGAAACACGTGTAGAACACGTTTCGAAGGTACGACACGTCTCACGAAAGTATTTCACCGCGCACTTGTAACACGCCGGTACGAGACATTTCGAGCTTACTATAGTTGAGATATTTCGAAGTTACGAAACATTCGCAGTTCACAGTTCACACACACATACATAGAGAGCGATGACAAGTGACTATTTTAAACGCGAAAACAAAACCGCGAAAATCTCGCGAAGATACTCGCTGAGAATACGTTCTGCGTTTGGAATAATACTTTCGTGAGTCGTACCGTACCCGGTTACAAACGACGTAGAAAGAGAGAGAGAGAAAAAAAAGAAAAGGAGAGAGAGAGAGAGAGAAAAGACAGGAGAAAGACGAAGAGAGAAAGAGAGAGAGAGAGAGATAGTTTGAAGACAGAAACTTACCCCTGGCTGTTTTAAACTTCGCGGATCCTGGCTTACTGAAACCCATCGCGTTGTGCGCCATCAATTCCACTTTGTAGAACGTGTCCGAGTACAAATTCTTCAGCCAGTGCCTCAGCCTTCCTTGGGTCTTCACGTCCTCCGTGCGACAAGTATCGTCCAGCAGCTGCCAGTCGCCTGACACGCGTTTTATTTGACAGTACTTCACCCGATACATATCGATCGGCTCGCCGTTATCGGCCGGCGCCAGCCAAGCCAGCTCGTATTGATTATTGAACCTGGACAGATCGTACTCGCCGGTCGGCGTTATTATCTTCGGCTCGTTCGGGAACGTCCTAACTGGCGTGATCTCCTGGTGATACGCTCCCCAGTTGCCAAGGCCGACCTCGTTCCTCGCCGCGAATCGAAACTCGTAAGAGGTGTGCGGCTTCAGACCTTCCAGCACGTAGAACGAATCTGCAAACAAAAGAGTGAAACAGATGGAACCGATGACTAATCGATTGTAGGCCTTATAACCGACCATCCATATTCTTGGAATTGGGACTACCTCCACTCTAGATTAAACTCTTTTTTTTTTTTTTTAAGGCTAATTTCTGGAATACACCAGCCCTCTTAACACGTTAAGCGCAGAGCTAATTTTGCCGCGCTATCCGTTCAGGCGGATTATAGGGTATAAAGAGACTAGATATCGCTGTGACAACATTGTTTCACTTTTCGTTTAGGGAGCAGCAAAAGTATATATTATAGACTAAAGATGAGATCAGAGTACATATTAAAAGGCTACCTTCAAAAGACAATCAGTTCAAAAGTATACAAATTATAGACTAAATATTAGATTAGAGTACATATAGGAAGGCTACCTTCAAAAGACAATCAGTTCAAAAGTAGACAAATTATAGACTAAATATGAGATTAGAGTACATATTAAAAGGCTACCTTCAAAAAACAATCAGTTCAAAAGTATACAAATTATAGACTAAATATGAGATTAGAGTACATATTAAAAGGCTACCTTCAAAAGACAATCAGTTCTATAAAGACACGGAATGTTACTTTTTGCACTATGTGTAAAGCCAAATCTTATTTCTGTTTAGAACGTTTCAATAAACTCCATTAAAGTTACAAAATTACAAAAAAAAAGAAATATTTTTGAACCTTGACTCTGCTGGTCCCACGGACAGACGCCGACCAAACGAAAAGTTCATTGTCAATCCTCAGGGATTGACGCCGCCTAAATGGAAAGTTCACTGTCAATCCCCGAGGATTGACGCCGCGCTTAAACGTGTTAACTGACCAGTTTCGGTCCCGACTGTTGGACAGTTGTACGAGGACGCTGTATTAGATGAACGGTAAGGTTGATTCGCCTCTTCACTCACCGACGGTCCACGTCTTGTTCCTCGCCTGCATCCAGGTCTGGCCTTCCTCCTTGTACTGAACGGTGATGGTTCTCACTGGTAGTTCAGGGTTGGTGCTAGGCGGCACCAGGTCGAATCGAATGGTGGTGGCGGTGATCTCGGCCATCTTCGCCTGCGGCACCTCCCCCGGCTTCGTGGCTTCTCTCAGCTCGATATTCCGCTCGCGTGTGCCGTGCGCGTTCGAGGCGATGCATTTGTAAGTGGTGTAGTAACGCTTGTCCAGCGGCACGATCATCAACGTGGATAGCGGCCCGTTGCCCAGCTGCTTGATCATGTTGTCGTTGTCGATCCTCTGGTCGCCGTGCACGGTCCAGCGGATGGTGGCGTTCGGTATGCTCTCGGCAATGCAGCTGATGTTCACGGGCTTCTGCTCCCACGACCAGACGCTGGTATTCGGCATCGAGGCGAACGACGGCGGGAATTCCACCGTCAGATGACCGTTCCGACGCGCCTCACCCCCTGCATTTTCCGCGATGCACTCGTACAGGCCGTCGTTCGATCGAAGTGACTCGCTGATCGTCAGCCGGCCAACTGTCTCGCCGGTTATGTCGTCGGCGCTGTTGGTCAGGATGATCCGATCGTCGTCCAACTGCGCACCCTTCGCGTATGGTTGATCGTTGGTCAGCTTCCTGAAGGTGACCTGCGGCGGCGGCCTGCCAAACGCCTTGCACACCAGGCTCGCCTCCTTGTCCTGCACCACGCTGCTGTTCAAGAACTCCATGATCTTCGGCTTCACGATCACGTTCACCCGGATGTTCGTGTTCGCCTGGGCGGCCAGATTGGTCGCTGTGCACTGGTACTCGCCGGCGTCCTCCCGGTTCACGTTCGTGATTGTCAGCACGCCGGTGTCCGGGTCCACCCCGAAACGATCGGCGTTCGACAGATTCTGATGGGTGAGCGACTTCACCCACGTGAACTTCGGCGGCGGTTTACCGTGTGCCTTGCACTGTATGCTCGCGTCTTCACCCTCGATCACGTCCACCGGGCTCGAGAGCTCCTCCACCGTCGGCCGTATGTGAACCTGTTCAATGAAACGCAAACTCGCAAATCTGCTGATATACCTGTGGCGGCGTTACGGGAATAATTGGCGCACACCAACCACCCCTCACCCCTCCCGGGCGCGGGGTGGAAACTATACCGCACATCATGCCGCGCCGCGGATGTACACGAACAAACCAGAGAGGTGAAACGGATTGGGAGAACCTGCTGCCTGATGTTTGATTTCACTTGGAGCGCTTACTAGGTAGCTTTTTGTTTGCCGCATTGTTTGCCTTGCATAATTGGATGGTACTTTGGCTCTTTGGTTCTTCACAGTCCTTTACATTGCTCGATATTGCGCGCCGGTTTTTACGGGTTGGTTACTGAATTTTCGCTTCGCTCGTTGTATGATTCGCGCGCTCGTGGATGGGAAATTTACGGATATTCTGTTAGTATTTGTGGAAAAAGGTTCACTAAAGGGGTTGGTTTGACAACCGTGTCAAAATATATTCTAGTCATGTCATTTAAATGATAGTTAAAATGAACTGATTTAATGATAATTTAATTCATATCAATTTTGACAAGAATATCTTTCAAGGAGTTGTAAAATATCTGAAATTATATCGACAGGTTCGATCGTTACAGTCGAAATAACAAAATTGCACAATTATTTATAAAACTTCTATAATTAAACAAACGAAAATATTCTACGTATAAATCATTGACAATTAAACTAAACAGATTTGTGCAATTACGTTTCTGTCCAAACAGAAATTGACACTGACCTCGAAAAAAGGAAACCCTTTCTTATCTTTTTTAAGCGCTTGTAAAAAAAACCAAGAAATACGAAAGTCAGTGAAGATGAATAAAACTGCACGATTATTTGTAAAACTTTTACAACGACAGTTGCAAGAAACAATAATTAAATAAACATTTCTTCAAATATCATCGTAATTTCTGAATATATTATCAGAATAATCACGTTGAAAGGTGAAATACGCACCTCGACACGAATTGGTCGTTCCTTCAACTCTCCTGTAGTCAGCACGTAGGCACGACAAGTGTAAATACCATCGTCGGATTCTTGAACGTTCTTGATCTTCAGGGCATACGTTTCTATAATGTAGTGGTCGTTCGTCTTAATTAATTCGCCGTTGTACAGCCAGTCGACCGAGGGCGAGGGCCTCGCCCTCACTTTGCACTGAATGGCGAAGTCTTCTCCGAGAATAGGGTATTGATTGGACGGTGCATTGTCCCAAGTGATCGCAACTACGAAACAGTAATTACTCCTCGATAATTTCCCGTGTCTCTCGCTTCTTTCGCCAAGTCTCGAGGCTCTCTTTCTCCGCCTCGAGGAGATCTCCTTCGCCGAGCCATTTCTCATTAAAACGTTATAAGAAGCATTCTCTCAATTAATACAGATTCAGAAAGAAAGACTCGGGACAAAAGTCTTGAAATAAATCTTGTAAGGGAATTATTCGTTACTTTAGAAAACTGTTGCAAAATCGAGAGAAGGAATAAAATTGTTGCCAAACGAGATTTTTTTTACAAGCTGGAACACGCTCGACAGAGAGATTAAATTGTTTCACTACGTCGCGGTTTCAACAAAGATTTTCAATTAAAGTTAAACGGGAACTTTTTATACGTCGAATTTCAAGTTCGGAGGTTTAAATGCAAAAATCTTTAACGGCGTGGGACTTTTAAATTGAATCGAGAGAGTTGCAAACTCCTCTTCGTTCGGCGATTCATCGAGGAAACAAGATTTCTGCTCGTAACAAACACGGTTACGAACATTTTCTCCGCTTCAATCGCGACCGTCTAGGTTCTGAAAAATCTTAACTATTCTCGCGTGGACAACAAATGAAACTTCACTTCGTCAAGCTTCGCTCACCTATGGTGTCGATCGTCACGGATCTCTGCAGTTGAATCGAGTTCGCGTACGTGGCCTTGCACGTGTATTTGCCAGCCTGCTGTTCTTGCAGAGAGTTGAAGAACAAAGACAAGCTGTTATCCTGGAGCAATTCGGTGTACATCGGCGGCTTCGAATGGCCCGGCGTGCTACGTGGGATAATTAAAAGTCACTGTTATTACGACAACTTTTCGCGGGCGCCGTCACAACCATTCTAACGACGATAACACACTATGTGACACGGTGATGACGGTGATGACGACAAGTGAGATGCGTGTCGCTGTGAATGTGGAGCGTTGCAGAGTGAATATGGAGGAATCGGCTCGGTGTTACGCGCTGATCGACGATATTTCTAAATGATCAACCACTTGACGCTCACGTTGCACAGAATGGTGTGATATGGTACATACAAGTGTATCAAAAGGGATCGAGACTCTTCATGCAAAAGTGAATTAAACCAGAGGTGGCTAACTGGCGGCATTTGTCCCCACTTTCCTTACTAGCGCTATCCCCTCCACTGCGTCGAGAGTCACAATACTCGTATTATATACACATGTAATTCCACAGGGTCACCGAAAGACTGAATGATATAAAACAAAAATAACTTTTACAAACACACGTTTCTTTAATTTTTTATTATTTTATTTGGAAATGTAATTACTGAATTTTTTTTCAGTACTATGTGTGAAAAACAACATCTCTCAAATGACCAATATTTATATATATGTAATATATATTTATACATAATACCACAGAGTCACTGAAAGACTGAATGACATAAAACAAAAATAACTTTTACAAACATACGTTTTTTTAAATTTTTTTTATTATTTTTATTATTTTATTTGGAAATGTAATTAATGGATTTTTTTTCAGTACTATGTGTGAAAAACAACATCTCTCAAATGACCACTATTTATATATATGTAATATATATTTATACATAATACCACAGGGTCACTGAAAGACTGAATGATGTAAAACAAAAATAACTTTTACAAACATGCGTTTTTTTTAATTTTTTATTATTTTATTTGGAAATGTAATTAATGGATTTTTTTTCAGTACTATGTGTGAAAAAACATCTCTC